GCCCCTCCCTGGGCCTCGGGCTCCTTGTGGGGTTGTACTGCATGGTCCCCGAGGCCCTGCCCAGCACTGAGGTTCCCAGCTCCCCTTTGAAGAGGGAACCAGGTGCCTTTCCCACTCTCCTCCCCGGCCTGCGATTAATCGGGTCATTATGAGCTCAATTACAGCTTTTTATGGCTCTCTAAACATGGTGTGCCAGCCCCCCATGGACGCTAGGACGTGGCAAGTAGCTTTGAGTGGACAGCGTGGGGAGTCTCGGGTATTGGAGGCGGGCGTAGCCCAGCTCTGCCCTGCGAGGGCAGCGGGGACTGTTCTGCCCAGGCCCCAATCTGCTCCGGAGGCACATGGGTTCCCTCCAGGACCTGCTCACAGAGATCTGCCTGGCCCCCAGGGTCCGCCTTGGGGTCCGGATGAAGGAACAAGGGGCAGACCAGGCCCGTTTTCCCCGAGCATCGGGTCTGGCTGAGGCCACGGAGCAAGGTGTGACACTTCTGATCTCTCTGAGCTGGGAGCCCAGCAGGGTCAGCGGGGTGAGGGCCTGAGTTTGAACCACCCACAGGAACGAGGGAACAGAGCTACGGTCCTCGAGCGGCCGGGCAGCCTCGGCTCACCCATGGGGCAAGGTCTCTGAGGGCTGTGTGGTTCCATGTTCTGGGTTGGTGCAGACTCTGCATGGAGTGGGTGTTTGGGGAGGCTGACCGGGTCGGCCCCAAGGAGGAGGCTCTGGACAAGCACAGAAATGCCTGTCTGTCCCGGAGGCCTGGCCCTGGGCCGCTCGCTGCTTGGTGAGGGCGAGGCCGATGCCCGTTTGTTTGCTCTCAGAGCTGTTTCTGGGCAGTGGGGGTCGGCTACGGATCTAGAGCCCCACCTGGTGCATGAAGACGTAGGCTCAGAAGGGTTTGTGACTTGCCTGGGGCCACACGGCAGGTGTGCGACTCCAGATCCCATCCTGAGTCTCCGGCACCTCCTCTGCTTTCCTGGGCCTGGGCCCGGGCCCTTCCGAGCTAACGGGGTTCACCTTGACCTGCGGGCACCAGAGGCGGGCGGCCCGGAAACACCTGGCTCCGTGTCAGGGCCATGTGCGCTCAAGGACGTGCCCCCCGCCCACCCCCCCAGGGCTCAAGAGGCCCTGGGAGTGAGGGGTGACCGACATGCGGCCAGCCTGCCTGTCTTCGGTATTTTCCGGAAATACTGCCAATGCTGCCATCGGCTCCAGTGTCTGAGGGTGCGGGGCTGTGCTGAGTGGGTTCTGGATCCCGAGAGGGACCTCTAGGCCTCCTGAGACCAACGTGTGCCCCCAGAATAGCTGTTGGCCCCAAACAGGCCACTCATGCTGCCTTCACCCAACGCCTCGCCCCCATCGCCAGACACACCTGGAGCAGCTGCTGAGCTCAGGCGGCTGCTGCCACTGCCACCTGGAGCAAATCAGTTCCCACCTTTGAATCTCAGTGCTCCCATCTGTGACATGGAGCTCGTAAAGACGGACTCTGTCATGGGCTGTCACGGGATAACAAGGCAATGCAGATAAAGTCCCCAGCCCCGGCCCTCTCACGTTGGGGTTCAGGGAACGACGCTGGGTGGGGGGCACACAGAAGAATCAGGCGTGGATCCTGCCTCCAGCTCTGCAGCCCGTGGGGCGCCTGACAAGGGGCCTCACACCTGCGGGGACGCTGGGAGCCCAGCGCTGTCCCAGCTGTGTCCAGAACTTGAGTGAGCTGCGGACACGTGGGAATGTGGACAGGGACCCCAGGCAGAGAGAGGGCCGGCGGCAGGGACCCAGGCCTTTCTTCTTTTCAGTAAGAGTGTGTGCTCTGGGGGCAGCTGCACCTGCCCACAGGTGGGCCGCTGGTTCATCCTGGCCAAGCTAGGCTGCAAGGAGTGGTGGGTGGGGCCGGGTGGGGTCAGGCCTCCTGGGCTTGAGGTCAGTTCCGGGGCCTGGGAGCCAGAGATGGCTGCTGAGCAAGGCCCATGGGTTCGAGAGACATCTTTCCAAACCTGAGCCCTCCCTCTGCTCACCTGGACGAGGACATGTGAGCAGCTCTCTGGGGATTGGCCAAACTGCCCAGGAGTGACTTTGGGAGGGGACCCTCTGCCTGCTCCACGCCAGGGCATACTGTGACCGCGGCCCTCTGAGCCAGCTTCCAGGTCCGTATATGGGGTGTGGTCCCCCCCGCCCTACAGGGCTATGGCGAGAATTCAATAAGACGCATGTGCTGAGTGCGGATGCATGGGAACCCCTCAGTCTGCGACCTAACGTCACCCTCCTGGATGCTCCCCAAACTACGACTGTCTCGCAGTGGCCCCCACCTTGTCTCCGTGGAGAGACGAGGCGGTTTGGCTCATTAAAACCAAATAAAAAAGGAATTAGCAGGAGTGGCAGCCAGATGAGTAACCGATGAGTAACTGGGAGTTTGCACAGGGTATGGACTTAGCCCGGTGGGAGCAGAAGCTGACTGAGAAGAAAGGGAGATTTCCATGAAATGCCCCCCAAACGCACCAGCCCAGCCGCAGAGCCTGCTGTCTGCCCGGGGGCTTCGGGACGGCCAGACACGGAAGTCCCCCATCCAGCTCCCGACGGGAAGACGGGCACTTAGCGTCCCCCCTGGGGAACGCCCACATCATCCTTGATCAGGCAGGGCTTGGTGGTGGGGACTTTTAAGTCTGCCTGGCCTCTTGGCGAGATTGCACAATTGTCAGATTTCTCCGCCCACCCCCCTCCGCTGGGTGCCTCGTTTGTGATATGCCTCCTCTGAGACCTCTGAGTTGGGTGTCCCCCGAGCTCTTACCCAGAATTCACCTGCTGGCTAGCTGCCATCCTTCCAGGGCCCACGGCCCACACACGGTCCAAATGAGGCATCTCCTCGCCGAGGGAGCCGAGCATGCCCCTTCTCCCATTTCTCCTACCCAGGTCACTCAGCTGCAGCGGGGCTGAGCCGGGGGCAGGGTGGCCTCCAACCGCCCGAGCCCCAGGTGCCGAGTCCCTCCCTCTGCCTCGGGGCTTTGATTCCACTGCCTGGGTTCAAATCCTGCTTCATCCGCTAACACCTAGTGTCACAGCCTCTCTGTGCCTCCGTGTCCCCATCTGCGAGATAGGAACAGTGACGAAAGCTGTCTCGTACGATCGCTGTGACAGTTTGATGAGAATGTATGTGAAGGGCTGGTGAGCGATGGCGATGGTGACCACAGCTCTGCTGATCCGCTTTCTAAATAGTTCCAGAATCCCCATCCCTTGTGCAGCCAGCGAGCTCTCAAATTCTAGCCCCGCAGAGTCTGGCCCCAGCACCTGCACAGAAAGTGCCATCTGCTTCATGGGACATCTCCGCCCGTCACAGTCTGGCTCCCTTGGATTTTACCCGCCTCTTTTTTATTACTCGTGGCCTCGTGCTTCGCACCTCTGTCCCTTTGTCCCAGCGGTGGCCAGGAGAGCACGCACACGCACACGTGCGCGCGCACACGCACACCACAGACGCGCTCACAGGGAGTTAACTCACTGCTCGTTAAGACTCACTTTACCACGTCACCTTCTCCAGGAAGCCTTCCCAGTCTCCACCCCCGGCAGAGGCAGGTCGGGGCATCCTTTGAGGTTTCATGACTCCCTGTGCCCCTTCTTGCAGAGCTCTGTGGTCCCCTCCCTTCCTGGAAGCCCCTCTTGTTTATTGCTGCCCCCGTGTGCGAGCTTGTCGGCGGGCCTGGCTGGGCTTGGGTAAGGCAAGCAAGGAGTTCAGTAACCCACCTCACACCCCACGGACTTCCCTGCGCATCGTCTTGATCTAATGGAAAGCCAGGGAGGGCGATTCTCACATTCTCCCTGTCCCTGTCCCTTTGTCTGTCTGAGAGTCCCTGACCAGCCGGCCTTGATGACAGAGGGACCAGGGCTTCTCCGAAGAGCCACTCACTGTGCTGAGAAATGGCTTGTTACGGGGTGGTGCTGGGGGGTGGTGCTGGGTAGCGGAGCTCGTGTGTTCGTTCGGTGGGTCCCCAGGTGGCCCTGCACTGACCCCTGGCAAGGAGAAAAGGGACTCAAGGATTTGACTTTATCTCATAGATGTGGAGGTTGCCATGCAACAGGCAGTTATTAAATTATTGTCAAATGAACAATGAATGAATATGTGACACAGTCTTTGCCTCCAAGAGGCTCGCAGACAGTACTCAGGCACCATTCTGCAGCACAGGCAGACTGGGTCCGTGCCGGGAGGGCAGAGGGAGGCGAGATTCACTCACCTGGAGGCACTGGAGGGCTTCCTGCAGGAGGAGGTGTAGCTGAGCCCTCAGGGGAATCACTGCCCCTAGAGCCTCTGCAGTGGCTTAGGTCCTGAGCAGGGGCTTCCCCGCACCCGTGGGAGGAAGGTCTCACTGTCCCCACCTGGATGGTGGCCGGGGGGATGAGGGAGGCATGGAGGCCCGGCGCCCAAGTCTGGGCAGTGTGGGGGGCCCTGAGGGAGGCTGGGGTATCAGAGAAGGGAGGCTCAGGAGACCAGGGCCTGGTGACGGGTGATGGTGGGTGGTCGGAGAGAGGGAGGTGGCAACGGAGAGGCCAGGTGGGTTCTGACCGGTGTGGATTCTGCCCGGTTCCCAGCTGGTGGGGTGGGGTGCCTCCACGGGGTCTGCAAAAGTGGCTGATTCACGAGGAACAGCGCTGAGAAGGTGGCAGAAGAGAGGGGCAGAGGTATAGACCCCACACGCCCCGTCACAGGGCCACCCACTGCTGTCTTCCGGGGGTGGGGAGACCGGACCCCTCCAGCCCAGGCTCTTGGGACAGGGAGAGAAGTGTCTTGCGCAGCGGTGGCAGGGCCGAGGCGTGCATGGCGTGCTCACCGTAGGCGGGGCACTGTCCTCGGCCTCGCGGGGCGGGCTCCCCAGCTCCACGCTGCCGAATCAGAAGCTCAGAGCAGGCAAGAGCAGAGCCCAGGGTCACACAGCCATCGACAAGACCCCGGGCGGCTGGCTGGGTGGTTCCCCGAGCCCCGCGAGGGCCTAACGGGCCGCACCTTCCCTCCACGCAGGGAGCCGCGAGGCCGCGTTCACCTACGCCATCACCGCGGCCGGCGTGGCCCACGCCGTCACTGCCGCCTGCAGCCAGGGCAACCTGAGCAACTGCGGCTGCGACCGCGAGAAGCAAGGTTACTACAACCAGGCCGAGGGCTGGAAGTGGGGCGGCTGCTCCGCCGACGTGCGCTACGGCATCGACTTCTCCCGGCGCTTCGTGGACGCCCGTGAGATCAAGAAGAACGCGCGGCGCCTCATGAACCTGCACAACAACGAGGCGGGCAGGAAGGTAGGGCGCGCGGGCGCGGGGCGGTGTCAGGTGTGGCCGCTGGGTCACCTGAGTTCCTCCTCCCTGAAATCTGCAAGGCTGTCCTAGGGGAGGGAATTGGGAACCCGAACCCCAAAGGTGCGGGGTGAGCAGTGCTGGGCATGGCTGTCACCAGGGACCCTCCTAGCGGCCGTCGCTGGCGGGGCTCATGGCGCCCATCCCAGAGGTGTGTAAACCGAGGCTCCCAGGGGCGAAGCGATGTGCCCGCCGCTCCCAGCTGCTGGGAGGCAGGGATGAGACAGGACCCTGTTTCCACGCAGGGTGGGAGGAGGTCTCTTGGCCAGCGTGCCAGGTCCCTGTCTTGGTCCCAGAGGGATCCTGCCACCGTACCGGGAGAGGCGGCCTTTGGTTCGCGTTGCCATGAGAGAACAGAGGGAGGGATGTGGGGGTGCAAGGGGGGGCGGGGAGGGGAGGTGCAGCCTCGGGGAGGGTGGAAACTGAGCTGGGGGCTCTTGAGGAGCAGCCAGCTTCAGGTGTGGGGTGGGATGCAGTGTGGCAGGTGATAACGGAGGACATTCAGGCAGGGACACACTGGGGAAGAAGTCAGGGCTGGCCCAGCCCTGCCCGGGGGAGATGAGGGCCCCAGATACTGGGCTGGGAGGAGTGGCCGCCATGGCGGCGAGATGGCCAGAGATAGGGCCGGTATTGGAGCAGAACGCCTCTCCAGGTCTGATCCCCCAGCCCGGGGGCTGCACCCAGGGCTCGGGGCCTGCGGGGCTCTGCAGGCATGGGACAGACTTGACTTTCCAGCAAAGAGGAGCCGAAATTACCCTCTGCCTCATGGACCATAACTGAGGCCACTGGTCACTCACTCATTCACTCTTCAAATGCTCCCTGCCCCTTCTCTGTGCCAGGCTCTAGGTTGGGCATGGGGACGGGGACCCCGGCCATGGGAGCTCCGCCAGAACGACTAGCTCCACGTAAGGGGAGCAGGGGTCATAGCCAGGGACAATGAGAACCCCAGGGACTGACAGGAGGGGGAGCAGAAGCTTCCTGGAGGAGGTGACATCCAGTGGAGCCTCGACAGACATGCCAGAGCTGAAGGAGCTGGCGCTTGGGTGGGGGGCAGGACTGCGAATAGTGCAGGCTGGTGGGAGCAGGAGGCGTGGGCGAGACAGGGCTCGAGAAGCAAGCAGGGCTGGCCCAAAAGAGGCCTTGAACGCCAGGCCAAGGGTCTGACTTTATCTCGTAGATGTGGAGGTTGCCATGCAACAGGCGGTTATTAAATTATTGTCAAACGAACAATGAATGAAGGAATGCGTGACACAGTCTTTGCCTCCAAGCGGCTCGCAGACAGTACTCAGGCACCATTCTGCAGCACAGGCAGACTGGGTCCGTGCCGGGAGGGCAGAGGGAGGCGAGATTCACTCACCTGGAGGCACTGGAGGGCTTCTTGCAGGAGGAGGTGTAGCTGAGCCCTGAGGGGAATCACTGCCCCTAGAGCCTCTGCAGTAGCTTAGGTCCCGAGCAGGGGCTTCCCCGCACCCCTGGGAGGAAGATCTCACTGTCCTCATTTTACACAGGAAGACAGTGGGGTCCAAAGTGAGCTGCAGAGCCACTGGTGGCCCCAAGGCCTGAGCTCTGGTCACTGCTCCATGGGGATGTGTCTCAGTGAGCAGCAGAGACGTGGGGAAGGACACTCCTGGTGGAGGGACCAGTGGAAGGCAGAAAAAGCGTGGGGGTGGGGAGGGGGACTCAGGTCTCGCATACAGAGCCGTGAGGCCACCAGCCCCGCTCAGGTGGCTGGGGCAGGCGAGGAGGCCGGAAGGTTGCACGGGCTGCGTGCTGGAAGACTGTGACAGCCAGGCTGGATCTGGGCCCCTTGCAGGTCCCTGAGGGAGAGCGGGGCTGAGCAGCTCAAGGGCCAGGGTTGTGTCTGATTTGGCTCTGAGGTCCTGTGTGAACCCCAGGGCTGACCTAGCATGGGATTCAGGGGTGCTTTGGAGACTGACAAGTGGGAAAAGGCATCAGGGAAATGGAGTGGGGCAGGACTGAGCCCCGAGGGAGACGGGGCCGGGGAGAGGAGAACAAGGAGACTGGGGGTGGATTCCGGGCCCGGCCAGGGGCTGAGGCTGGAGGAGGGTCAGCATGTAGGGGGTGAGGATCTCCATCAGGGGCTGAGGCTGGAGGAGGGTCAGCATGTGGGGGGTGAGGATCTCCGTCAGGGGGTGAGGCCGGAGGAGGGTCAGCATGTGGGGGGTTTGGACTGGGGCGAAGTCCTGAACCTGTGAACAGAGGAGAAGCAGGTTGTCGGGGGCGCAGGTCAGCAGTTTGCAGGCCCATCGGAGACAGGGTGGCTGTAGGAATGGGCCGTTAAGAGGTCAGCGGCCAGGATTCTCGCGCCAGCACTGTCCCTGACCGTCAGGACCCGGCTGACCCCGCCCCTCCTCCGAGCCTCAGCCTCCTCCTCTGCACAGTGGGCGTAATGCGCCTTGTCCCCTCCCCACGGAGCTCGTGGCACACAAGGTGGCCCGAGCCCTTGGACTGAGCCGAGTGCAGGCAGCACAGGAAGCAGGAGGGGCGCCCCTCGTCCCCGCTGCGTGGCGCTCAACAAGGCGCGCAGGGTGTGGGGGTGTGGCGGGCGAGGTTTCTCTAAGAACTGAGTCCGGAACTTCATGGGTCACCCCAGTACTGGGCGCCCTGGCCCCTTTATAGAGAAAACAGGCCTGCCCCGCCCCCCACTTCCTCAGCAAGTCAGGTGGGAAGAAAGCTGACCACAAAGTCCCACAAACCGGTGGCTTAAAGCAATAGAAACCCATTCTCTCGCAGGCTGGAGCCAGAAGACTGGCCCTCCGGGGGCGCACCCCTCCTGGCCACCCCAGCCCCGGGGGCTCCAGGTGCTCTTGGGCTTGTGGCCACATCGTCCAGTCTCGGCCTCCTCCTCGATTGTATCCTCTTCCGCCTCTCATGAGGACACATGTCCTCGGATTGAGGGTCTACCATGGTCCGGGGTGATCCCATGTTGTCTCACCTTAATCGCATCTGCAAAGTCCCTGTTTCCAAATCAGGTCACGTTTCAAGGTTCTGAGTGGGCTGGGACATGGCCCACGGGGGCCCCCGGTGGGCCAGCGGGGGAGAGGCTAAGCACGGACACCTGCTCACCTGTGCTTTCGACAGACTGCGGGCTCCCTCGGGGCTTCAGTGTGCCAGCCCACGACTCCCCTCACCTGGACAGAAGGGAACACTGTTCCCAGTGTGGGGCATCCCTCATTCCAGAAAGAACCTCAAGTCGGCCCTTTCCTGGAGCCCCCACACACCTCACACTACCCGGGATGGGGGTGGGGCAGTGCGCCGGGGGAAGCTGCTCTGGGCAGGGCTGGTCACTGCGCCCTCCCAGGGGGTCTCCTGGGCAGTGGGGCTGGCGCCGCCTTTGCTGTCGCCCTTATCTTGAGGGCACTGGAGACGGAAACGGCACATTCTTGAATTCTGTGATCATTTCCCAGGAGAGGCTCAGGCCCAGGGGACCCAGCCAAGCGAGGATGTGGCCCCTCGCTCAGCAAACAGCTGCCCAATCGACTCCATCTGCTGGCTGTCACTGGCTGCACAGGGTCCCGAGTTGGGTGGGTGGGGCGCTGGGCTTTCCTGCCTTAGTGGGGACAGAGAGGTGGGGGTGGAGGGAAGGGGATCAGAACAGGTGGCACAGCGAGGTCGGGGGCAGCTGTTCTGCAGGCCGAAGTGGACACCCCGATGGCAATTAAGCCTGGACCACCTGGCCTGTACAACCTCAAACCTGGACACCCCTGCTGGGTCTCTGGCCATTGCGGCCCCTCTGAGGAGGAAGCTTCTGGGCTAACAGCCTAGGGTGAGGCGAACCACTAGCCAGGCTGGGGCTTCTGAGAGGGGCGTTTGTCTGGTCAGCTCCTGGCCTGAGGGGTATACTGGGCCGGCAGTGTGTCCAGGACACGAGAAGTTTGCAGGCCTTGAAGGGCAGGTTATTGGAGGGAGGGGCTTTCAAGGGAGGGGAGGGTCCATGAGAGGATGAACACGAGGTGGGGCAAGGGAGTGGAAAGAGATGTCTCTGATCTTGCTAGACAGCGGAGGGGAGCGGGGGGCAGGAGGCAGAGAGATGGCCCAGATACACTATCTCCTGGAGGCGGAGGGCTCCACCCTTCACCCGGACCCCCAGACCAGACTTCTGGCCTGTGCCCTCAACCCAGACACCCCGTGGCCCTGCTGCTCCAGTTCCGAACAGTCCCCAAACCCGCCCCTTTCCCCGCTCCGGACGCCTGGGCTCCCCCCGCCCCTTCTCCCCGCTCCTTTGTCCAATGAGCTCCGCTCCTCCATGGCACCCAGGGGCAGCACCCCCTCCTCCAGGAAGCCCCCGGGCAGGGGCCGGCTCTCACGGCATCCGCACTCTGCTGTTCCGTGTGTCGGTTTCCTTCTGTTTCCCACACTGGACTGAGCCCCGGGCATCCTCACCGAGCCCGGGCGGCTAGGGCAGGAAGAGAGACGGGGCAGCCGCCGGCCTGTGGGGCGCTGCCTGCACTGGTTTCTCATTCGTTCATTCACTGTGGGTCTCATCTGGGCCAGGGCTGGGGTTCTGGCCCCGGGTGGGGTGGGGGAAGTGGGGGACAGAGGGTAGCCAAGTTCCTTCAGGGCTGGGCCACGGAAGTGAGGCTAGGGAGAGCTGAGACAGCTGACAAATGGCCCTTCTGCAGTCGTGGGCTGCAGCTAATGATTCCCCATCTTTAATCAGGCCCGGCTGGCAGGGCCCTTTCGATCCGGGTAAATGAGTACCTGGGGTCAGGGCTGGCTCTGGGAATTAGCCTTCCGGGGCCAGGGAGGGAGGCCCAAGGAAAACACGCTGCACCCATCTCTGGGGAGAAAGAAGAGCCGGATCCAGGACGCTGCCCAGCAGTCAGCACACCTGGGCCTCACCGACCCGTGTGCTCACCTCCGGCCAGTCCGCCCCGCATCCTTTAGCAAACGTGGTGCCTACGACGCCATGGGCACGCCAGGCATGCCAGGCCTTCATCGAACAGCCGTTTATTAAGTGCCGACTGCATGCCACACCCTACGCCAGGCACGAGGGCAAGGAGCGGGAGAGACAGGGGTGAGGAATCTGCACCTATTAAGCACCTACTGTTGCTGGGCTCGGTGCCGCCATGAGGTGCCTGGGGGCAAGCTGGGGGCAAGCACCAGCTTTATCATCTGCTGTCCTGGGACCTGCAGCCAGCCCTGTGTTTCAGCTTGGTACCAGTGCAGTGACCCAGCTCCCGGAAGGGTGGTCGTGAGAATTTAGGGAAACACGTTTGATAACGGTATGCCCAGCTCTGCCAAGTTCTGAATGTTCTCTCTGGACCCTCACAAGGCCCTATGCAGCAGGGACTTATGGTCAGCAGCCCCCATTATCGGATGTAGAGACTGAGGCTCAGATTGGAGGAGACCGCGGGTCAGGCTGGAGGTGGGAGGTGCCCCGGGTCCGGCCACGCCCACTCTCAGACCACGCCCACTCTCAGACCACGCCCGCTCTCAGGCCCCCGCTGTGTCGCCCGCAGGTCCTGGAGGAGCGCATGAAGCTGGAGTGCAAGTGCCACGGTGTGTCGGGCTCCTGCACCACCAAGACGTGCTGGACCACACTGCCCAAGTTCCGAGAGGTGGGTCACCTGCTCAAGGAGAAGTATAACGCGGCCGTGCAGGTGGAGGTGGTGCGGGCCAGCCGCCTGCGGCAGCCCACCTTCCTGCGCATCAAGCAGCTGCGCAGCTACCAGAAGCCCATGGAGACGGACCTGGTGTACATCGAGAAGTCGCCGAACTACTGCGAGGAGGACGCGGCCACCGGCAGCGTGGGCACGCAGGGCCGCCTGTGCAACCGCACGTCGCCCGGCGCGGACGGCTGCGACACCATGTGCTGCGGCCGCGGCTACAACACCCACCAGTACACCAAGGTCTGGCAGTGCAACTGCAAGTTCCACTGGTGCTGCTTCGTCAAGTGCAACACCTGCAGCGAGCGCACGGAGGTCTTCACCTGCAAGTGAGCGGCGGGCGGCCCGCAGGCGGCAGCCCCGCCCGCGGCGTCTGCACATGGGCTCGGGGCGCCTTCCCTGCGCTGCCTCGGCTGCGGCCAGAGGTGGCCGGAGGAGGTGAGGGCTCCGGACGCAGGAGGGCTCCCGCCGGGCTCCTCATCCTCTCCCTGTCCCTGGGGGCTGCCTCCTGCCATTGCCGTCACTTCCTGTGGCAGAACAGTGCCCACGACCCGGCAGAGAGGGCAAGGCCAACGGCACTGGTGTCCTTGCCCGGGGCCCAGGGAATTCCTTTTCTTTTCTCCGGGGAAAGTGAACCTCAAGGACACACATATCCCCAGAAAGCAAAGTGACAAGACTCTGAGTGTCCCCCTCCCCCACCTGGTGGCACGGACAGGGGAATGCCATGCCGGCCTGCCCCACCGGAGACTATTTCCCAGGCCATATCAGCCACTGGGCCCTGGGGCTATCTGGGCAGATGTTGTCGAAAATTATTTATGTTTTCTTAGTATCAGAGGAGGATTCTTAGCACGAAGGCGCAGCCAGCCCTGACTGCGTGCTCCGTGTCGGCGCGTCCCCTCTCTGCCCTCCGCTCCCTCTCCGGGACCTGCGGGAGCATCCCGGTGCACGGCACCCTCCTGGCCCCGCCCCGGGGGAGCTGGCTGTGTGAGTGTGGACCCCAGGGGAGCTGGGCAAGGGCTTGGCAACTAGTACGGCCCCAGGAGGGCTGCCGAGGGGAGCCCCGACAGGGGTCTCCGGTCCCCTCTTCTTTTCAAAAATCATATCAATCAAATCAAAACGTCTCCCACGTCAGGTTCCAGGAGCACTTCGTCCCCTCCCTCATGCTGTTGCCCTCCCAGCGCCTTGCCAGCCTGATGCCCCCCAGTTTACAGAGCCCCCCCCCACCCTGGAGCCAGCTGGACCCCAAGAGAGCATTGTGCGGGGAGTGGGCAGGGGGTAGTTCAGGGTGTTTGCTTCATTTGACGCATGAGGACACTGAGACTCGGGAGGGAGCACTAGCCAGAGACCCCGAGGCCACGAGTGGAGCTCCTGACTTGGCTCAGGTGTCCTGTGCCCCAGCCCAGGGCTCCTGGCCCTGGAGGGAAAGCTCTGGGAATGCCGGGCGTGGTGTGGGGCGGCCCCCATACCCCTGCCCCTGCTGCCAGCCTCACTGGGGTCTGCACCCCCCACCCAGAGGTGCCTTCAAGGGTCTCTCGGTGGCCTCCTTGGCCAGTTCTGGCCCTTTCACCCTGACCCTGATGCTAAGGATCCAGGGAGTCCCTCTGCCAGTACCCCGTCTGCTCTCCCAGCAGATGCCTGTCCCCCCAGGCTTCCCACACCATGCAGACCCCCCCTTGAAGTCCAACTCACCCTGAAACCTGGGAGACAGGAAAGGGAAGGGGTCCAGGGCAGCTCTAAACTAGGTTTGGGGTGAGGGAGATGGGAAACGAGGTGCTCAGGGCCGGATGCGTCTTCTGCCAATGCTCCCGCCCCTCCCTGGAGAGGCACAGAGGCAGCGACCTGCCAGAAAGCACGGCGTGCAGCTGGCTTCTACCAGTTGGGGTAAGTGGGGGTGCACCCTCCACTGCCCACATGCTCCCCACCCTGAATTTAGGGTATTTTGCAGAAACTCGTGGAAATGTGTGTCCTCAGGCAACTGACCAGCCAGGTGGGCTGGATATTAGCCTGGGGCGAGGGACACTGTCTGGGCCCTGGTGTCCGCCCTCTGTGCCCCCGATGACGCCAGGATGCTCCATTAGCTGCTGCCCTGGGAAATCCCAGGCTGACGTGAACGCCCCCACTGCGCACCCCTGCCCCCACGTCCACAGGCCCGGCGTCTTCTGCCAAGGAACCTGGTTAACTTATGTTGTTATATAGTGTCAAAATGTCTATAGTGTCTTTTAAATTATTGTGACCTACACTGGGTACTGGGGAGGGGGGATGGCCGCGTGCTGTCCGCTGAGACAGGCTCCTCCTTCTGCTTGAAACAGACTCTTGGGGCCCCTGACACCACCGAGTCATACGCACTGTCCCTCCGTGCCACGTGCCCCCACCGAGACCCCGCCCTCCCTGTCAGCATTGCCCTTCCCTCGGGGGGGAAGGGGGTCAGTGTGGCCCAAGCAGGGGCGGGGGCGGCCGAGGCGAGGCGCTGTGTGACCCTGCGGTGCCCCCACTTCAGGAGAGCCGGGGGGTTTCTGACAGGCCGTGTCTGGCGTCCCTGGAGGGGAGCGTTGGCTCCAATAAAGCTGGAGTCAGAGACGTGAGTGTGTGTGGAGCCCACGCGGCGTGGGGGGGAGAGACGTGCGCCGTCCGCCGAGAGCAAGCCCCCCACGTGCCTTTCTGGCTTCCTCTGCCCTCCCTGCCGGCCCTGCCCTGATGTCCCCCACACCTAACCCTGTCCTCACGCCCAGGTCCCAGGTGGGGTCTGGAGTCATACCTGCCTCCAGGCCACCTTTGGGCCTCCCTAACCAGCAAGGGCTACGGTGGGGGCCGGAGACAGAACCTGAGGCCTCCTTGGACAGCCCAGGCTCAGGCTGAGGGACTCTGGGCCATGGCTTGGTGCGAGAGCCTTCATGGGGTGCGGTTGGGGCTGCTCTCAGGAGAATAGGGAGCCTGGGGGTGGCGGACCCACAGCAAGAGACCCTGACCCCCCATCCGCCTCCTTTTGGGTCTCCCTTCCCTCTGAGCCCGGCTGGCCTCGGGGTCCCTGTGGGTCTATCCAGCTGTGTCTGGGTGGGTTTTGGCTTAAGTGCCCCGCCTAGTGCGCTTCCTGCCCCCTTGGGCCGTGGGAAGGTGGCCCGCGTTTCCTGGGCAGCCACCGGGCCGTGTGTCTCCCCAGGAGCCCGGCGCCCCTCCCGCGGTAACCACGCGCCAGGGGCATGAATGGCATTCTTGCCGAGGGCCGGAAGGCATGCGGCGGGGCCGGTTTGGCCACTGCCCGCCGTCCCCGCAGCCTGGCATCGGGCGGAACTGCTGATCAAACATCCCCGTCTGCACGGTGCCCACCTGCGCACCCACGGAGCCTGGCCCAGACCTGGTGAAGGGACCGCCAGGTGGGCTTGCCGAGGGGGACGTGCCCCTCCAGGCTGTGGAGAGGGGGACACAGACAGGAAGGAACCTCCCTCGACACCCCACGCTCAGGGAGCCTCCGGGGCGGCCCTCCCCAACAGAGGGCCTTGGTTTCCCCATCTGGGACCAGGACGTGGCCCAGAGCAGGACCCGGTGGTCGGCAGGACCCGTGGGGCCCAGGCCTGGGCCGGTGGTTTGGCAGGAGGCCCGGGTTCCCCACGAGACGGTAAGCAAATCCCAGGTGGCGGCTGCAGAGGAACGCCGGGGTCCGGCAACTCCCACGGGGCCAGGAATGAGGAAGGAGCTTCGAGAATGTGCGGCCCCACTGCCCAGACTGTACTTGCTTCTTGGCCCCGGTTCAACCCCAGCCCCAGCCTCCCAGGTCTGCGGGCACATCCTCCGAGGGGCCCTGCCCACGCTGCTGCCGGCCAGCCCCAGGCTCCGCCTCCCCGGCTAACATTTCAGAAGCACTTCCTGGGGCAGCCCTGTGCCTGCCCCAGGCCCAGCACACAGTGGCTCGTCACCGTCACCACGGGTGCTTAGCTGGCCCGTGGGCGTGATGCGGCCTCCTGCCTCTGCATCTGCTGGGGCTGTCCCGTCTCCAGGCTTGCCTTCCGCTCGCTCTGAGGGGGCATGGGACCACCGAAGCAGCGGCGAGTCACGTGAGCTCTGCTGGGTAGTTTGGGGGCGCCGGCGTGAGCGCCTGGAGTTCTGGGACAGTCTCTACCCCCTGCTCACCCATTCGTTCACTTGCTCATTTGCTTCTTTAGCCCTGCTGGAGGCCAGGCCCCGGGCCGGTCCCTGGGGGCGGGGATGGTTCATGCCCGGCCTTGGCCTCACGGGTTCCAGCTCTTCATCCCACTGTCTTCCCCAAGGCAGCCCACTCTGGGGGTGCAGCTGCTCACTGAGGCATCCTGGGAGACAGAATAGGGCTTGAACTGACTTCTTTACTCCGTGAACCTCAGCTTCCTGCTCTGTAGAACGGGCACAGGGACTTAGTTCAGCCTGGCTCCCCTCCCTCTGTCTGGGGGAACGCCCCTGCCCACACAGGCTGAGCTTTAGCATCGGGGTCTCCCACACTGTGTCCCCAGGGCTTCCCAGGCTGTCCACTCAGCTGCCGTCTGGTGACCAGAGTTCATAGGACCCCTGTGGCCCTGGCGGGCAGAGGCTCGCTTCTCGCTATGGCCTCTGAAGCCCTTCCTGACCCTGTCTGCCTCATCTATCTACAGGTCGCTTCCAGCACTACCCCCTCCCTGCCGCCCAGAGTCCCCTGCACTCCCAGGAAGCCACCCCTCCCTGTAACTGCCCCCTACGCTCCACACACAGCCAGCCTTTCCTCTAGCTGTGGCCTTTCTTCTACCAGCCCGGCCCACACCCTCCTTCCCATAATGCCCCCCTCTCCAGCCGGCTCACCAGGGCTTCTGCCTGCTTCTTCAGCCTCCATCCCGGCTCTCACCCCAGTGGTCTCATCTCTGTGCCTGCCCGTGACCCCCAAGCAGGCCGAGGGGCCTTGGAAGCGAGCAGGTCCGTGGAAAACTGGACACCCCCCACCACACCAGTCGCTAGGGTACCCACAGCAGGTACCCTCAGCCTTGACACACCCCTTCCCCAAATAGGTCAGTGCTAGCTCTGTTTTATAGATGGGAAAACCGAGGCTTCCTTGGGAATAAAGCGTTCTGCCCAAGGCCACAGAGCCTGTGAGAGGCAGAACCGGGATTTGAACTCAGGACCTCTGGGGTCTTCCTTCTACCCAGCTCATATGCCTCCTCCCACGAGAACAGAGGCCCCGGGACCTTGTCCAAGGCAGCTCAGAGTCGAGTGGGAAGGGAACGGCGAAGGCAAGCCTGAGAGAGTTGACAGCAATGCTCTCCCCGAGGACGGAACAGGAGAGACGGGTTCAGAAGCAGCAGGCGGGGTGTGGGTGAGACGTCTGCGTGAACTTCTGGGTGACCCAGAGCTGGGCCGTGGGGAGTGGGTCAGGAGAGCAGGGGTGGCGTGAAGGGAGGAGAGGGAGGTGACCCGGGACGGGCGGGGCTGTGGTTTGGGGGCACGGGGTTGGGGGGTGGGAGGAGAGGTCAGTGGAGGCTGGAGCGTCTGTGCTCAGGCAAGCAGGGAAGTTGTCGAGTCCCCGGGCAGAGCAGCCAGGGCCACCCTGGGAGGCGCGGAGCCGGGGGAAGGGCCCCAGGAGCCAGGAAGTCTTCACCTCACCTGCTGCAGTCCTGGCTGCTTCCTCCCTCCGGGACTGTGTGTGCATCCACTTCCTTCTCTGGGATGCCACCTGCCTGCTCATCAGGTCTTGCAGAACCTGGGGACTCAGAACCACCTGGCCTGGGCGTCCCAAGACCCTTGAGAATCAGAACTTGCAAGTCTTCGAGGGCCCAGGGAATTGTAGGCCTGGCACCCACAGCAGTCCCCAGCAGAGGCCTGGGGGGTGGATGGCTGGTAGGCCAAGTGCACTGGTGAGAAGGCCCCAGAGCCCACCTGCAGCCTGCCCTGGGTGGGCACTGCTCCCAGGGTCTCAGGGGTGAGCAGTACCTAGGCCGGAACTGCCTGGTTGGCTCCCCTGGCTGGCCTAAATGCTGAGCCTCTCCGGGCACAGCTGGAATCCTGCAGCCACCTGGGCTGTAGAAGGCAAAGTGCTCACAGCCTTGCAAGGAAGCAGCCCAGGTGCAGGCAATGCAGACTCAGGGTGAGGGGCCGACTCCACCTGTAGGCTAAGGCCGGTGGAATAAGGGCAGGGCAGGGCTGGGACACCCTCCTGGTGCTGGACACAGGTGTCCTTCCCAGGGCCTTGTTGGTCTCCCTGGGTGGCCCACCCAGCCTGAGACCTAAGGGTGGCCTTCAGGACTCCAGTGCTTCCAGAACTAGCCCAGTGGGGTGTGTGCGTGTGGGGGAGGTCTCGGCCGACAGTGCTGGGCAGGACCCCAGGGGAGGCCTCTCCAGGTCTCTGCATCTGCGACCATTCTGCCGTGTACCCCACCTCACTGCCCCGGAGTGGGCTGGGGGCTTTGCCCGAGGTCCCTCTGTTGGCTTCTGGCTCACGTCTGTCTTCAGAGCCCTGCTTCCCCACGGACAGGATGGAGCATGCGTCCACCCTTTCGCACGTTCCTGGCTCACCGTTCACACACCTGAGCGCCTCAATGCCCAGGGCTTGGCCGGGCATCGCGGGGTCTCTGAGCAGAACTTGAAGTGAGGTCTTCCCTTAATTATCCCCAGGCCGGGCTGGGGACAGAATGGTGGACAAACCGGCCCCTTGCCCCACGCGGTACCTGAGGCCGCAGCGGGGGGAGAGGGCTGGGAGTGTGGAGAGGCGTGGGACCCAGCCCTGGGGGACGTGGGATGAAGGCTTCCTGGAGGGGCCGCCATCTGGGCTGAGGCCAGAGGAAAAGGGTGGACAAGGGAGGAGCTGGGGGAGGCAGGACGAAAAGAGGCCCTTCGGGCACAGGAAAGGAGGGGCGCGAGGGTCTGGGGTGGGATCCGGGGGTGACCGAAGGGATAAGGGAGCGTGCAGTTCGGGGGGCTGGGCAGTGGGGAGAGTGGAGCTTGGAGAGCTGCCCACAGTTGACGAGGCTCCGGAAGGCTCCAGAAGGCTCTGGAAGGCTCTGGAAGGCTCCGGAAGGCTCCAGGGTTGCAGCAGGAAATCCATCCCCCACCCCCACCACCATGGCCAACGGAGCCCCATCCCTTTTGGCCAAAGGGCCCGCATCCCGACCGGCGTTCCCCACCCCAGGCTGCTGTCTAGAGCCCCCTTTTCCAGTAGAAGAGTTTCCCGAAGAAGAGTCGCGGGCGGTGCAGGGTGCAGGGTGCAGGGCGCAGGGCGCAGGGTGCAGGGCGCGGGCTGGGCACTGAGGCTCCTCCCGAGGCTGCTTCTGGCCCTTCCCAATGGCGACAGGGGTTCCAGGCCACCCCTGCCAGGCCTTGGGCTCTTCCATGATGTCCCACCACCCCAACGAAAACGTTTGGAGAGGGGCCTCCATGGTCCTATTTGGACTGGCTGCTCCCGGGATCCCCATCAGACCCGGGATGGGCACCCAGCAGGCCGCGCCGGGGGCCCCATGCCAAACCCTGCTGAGCTACCCAGCTGGACACCAGGACTTGGAGCTTCTGTTAGCCAGTCAGGGCAGAGCCTGCTTTCCCTCCTGGGAAGGATAGATGAAATCTCAACTACAAACATTCCAGGGGAGGGAGGACGGCC